AAGGATAATTTGAAGGCTTTAAATTAAAAAAAATTAAAATCAACTGCAATATAAATAGAATGAGAACATCATCAAAGTAGTCGAAGTCAATTAAATACGCACTATTAAGGATAACTCAAAAAACTACTGGTCAGATCTTGACAAAATTTGTATGGGATCACATGAGAAGCCAGCTGTCAAAAAAAAGTCATCAAAATCGGTTCACCTACAAAATAGTTCTGAGGTAACACACATAAAAAATACAGTCGAATTGAGAACCTCTTCTTTTTTGAAGTTGATTGAAAATAATAATTTGCTCAAATTTTTCCAACAAAAGACTGCTTCAAATATAGAGTATACGTAAATATAATAATACCTTTTAGTTTGTGTTATTTTTATTTGTTATTAGGAAGATGCTGTTGCCTATCTCCTTTTTAATTTCCTACTGTCGTCTCTTACGACACCCACGGGCCGTTATGGAGTAGTGGACTTCCTTAGAACGGAACGTTGTACGTAGTAGAGCAATGCTGCAGCTATATTAGTAGTATAGTTATAGCACGAATGGGTCGGCTCGACCGGGGAAGGACCACGCTCTCACAGAATATCAGCGTAAAATAGCAGCTTGACACTGCTGTGTTTCGTATGGAGAGTGTAGAGAACCGAAGACCCTTTTTACTGGAAAAGAGGCATTCCATCTTTGTCCTCACGGGTAACGACGTATCTCCATTTTGATTCTCTATTGAGGATAAATGTAGATGTCTATATGCCACAGCAACCACTTACCATCAGGTGGACTGTATGCTTGTTTGTTAGCCTTATTCTATAAAAAAAATAAGAGTGACAAACGAGCATACAGAAAACCTGATGGCAAGTAGATGCTGGGGCTCATAGATATCTACATCTATCCTCGAATAAGAATCAAAATTTAGATGCGCTATCACGCTTAAGAACAGGTGTGTCTCACCAGTAACACAAAGTCAGGAATTTGCATTTAGAAAAGGCTAAGATTGGGGGCTTCTTAGGTGCTAATTAATTGCCAAGTTTAAACATTTGGTTCTCTAAAATTTTCACCGCAACGAACTGTTGAACTGACAAAACGTATCGCTAGCAACGCAGTGATAAATACGAGTAAAATGACGAATATAAAACCCCTAATTTTGGCTTTTTCTAAATGCGATTTTGATTCCATTCTGATCTTCAGAAGACCTGAAAATTTTAGACCACCTACTTTTTAAACTTTACACCTAATTAGCACCTACAAAGCCCCTAATTTTGGCTTTTTCTAAATAAAAATTCCTGTTTTTGCGTAAGATAGAATGTCCCGTTATCAGTTTAAAAGGTTTTACAAAGTATCTTTTTTTTTAAAAGAAAACCAACCACCTTTCTATGTTTTTAACGTTATCGTTTGTAACTGATCATGATACCACTCGTATTTACCTGAATTGAATAAAAACTTAATCACTTTCACCGCCACTAAACGGCCATTGTTTTTAACCAAGTTATAAAACCAGGAGGTTTTTATATTCGACGCTTGTTTTGGTTTCATGTATGTTCACTGATTTCTCAGAAACTGCTGAACTAATTTAAATTATTGTTTTATTATTAAATAGGTTATATTTTGAATAAAACTACTTTTACGGATTGTATCGCGTTTACATCAGTCAGGGGTCACCTCAGTACCCCGTGGTCATGGGTGCTGGAAAGCACCCGAAACGTCGGGAATTTAAAAATAAGTATAATTAAACGCGATAGAATCCGTAAAAGTATTTTATTGAATGTGTAGTGTTCGCGTAAATATAAGAAATCATTAGGTTATATTTCGTCAAAATGATGATAGGTCATAAAAAATTCCTCCGGTTTCCGTAAAATATGAGACGAAGTTTTTAATTTAACAATTTAGATATTATTCTATTTGTTGCCCAGGATTTATGATACTTCTTATTTTGCTTAAAAGGGTTAAAAGTAACCCTAAAAAGTAAAATTTGACTTCAAACACAAAAACAAAAATACACTATATCTGAGCACCGACTTCAGAAGCGAATGTAGAAAAGATAAATTTTGTAGACATATTTTTTATGAAATAAACTATAACAACAACACTCCTTGAGAGTCATAAAATATGTATATTTTTTATAATACACATTATTTTTGAATTCAAACAAGCGCAAGGCTTAGATGACTTTGAAATACACAATAATGTAGACCGTGAAAACAGTTCCTTTCAGTTGTTACTCGGAAGTTATCGTAGTTTAAAAACAATCCAGGAAATTATTATCTCTGCTGCTATATTATAACTTTTTTAACAATAATAAACATTTTAATATTACGTAATTGAAGTTAATATAACCAACGTGTAGAGCGTCTCAAATTAAAGTATAAAAAAGGAAAATTACAGTAAGTCGCACTCCTGGGCAGCACAAATAAGTGTGTCAAATATCATATAATGTTATTTATTTGATTTATTTAAAGCACCTAGGTCAAAAATATAAGAATGACTTATTTTTATGTTGGATTTTAATATATTAAGCTCCTTAAGGTTAAATAAGTTATTATTTCGTAACAATATTCGTTAAGTGACTAGGTATGTCAATTAGTCTGTAAGTACTGACAACTTTAAAAAAAATAAACAAAATATATATAATATATAAATTTACCGGTGTTTTTTTTTTAAATCTAGTAATAAAAGAAAGAAAAGTTAAAAACGTATGTGTACTTTCGTTTTCTGCTTAAACGCTATGGAAATTGACACAACATTTTAAAATTGTTTCATAATGTATAGAATAATAATTAATGATTTTATATTTCTTTTTCTTTTTTAAATATTTTTAATTTTTTTTAAACGAACGAAAAACGCACACCAACAATCGTTCGAATCGACTTCACAACCACAACTATTTGAATCTCCAAAGACTACAAATAATAATCATGAACTCTAAATATGATGTTATAAAGAATGTAATTTTTTTTTTAAATTTAGTTAACAATATCTAAATGTAATAATAAAAATGTCTGATAATAAAAATGTAGCTTTTTGTATTAAGACGTTATTCATTTAGCAGACGAGGGCTTGAAGAGCAGTTTTTGTCTAAACTAAATTTATCTAAACTCAAGTCTCACAGACAAGTATTTAGGAAATTTATATTTTAACTTTGTCTTCTAAATATATTTACGAAATTGTTTTGTATAAACAACAAAACATAATTAATTTAAAAAAAAATGAGAAACATTTTGTAAATACTAGGAAGGGACGCTAGTAATAACCAACGACTCTACACAGTCAGAAGTCCATTCATAGGGCAATGACCTTATACAAAAAAATCATAAAATATGCAATATTTGTCTAACACTTAGTAAAAAAATATTCAAGTACGAGTAGTAGTAAAGTAGGTACGTACGATTGTATAAAACAGCTTAATTATAATATTAAGGAATACATAGATAGTAATATCTCATTGAAATGGGGTAATTGCTACAAAGTAATTTGTGATATGATTTGTAAAATAATTAAGCAATCTACATAGGTACATTACTTGACAGGGAAAGCTTGCGTATAGCCGCAGGAATCCGATTAGGAGCGACGGACAGATCGCCGAACCTCATAAATGTTTTTGTGCGTCGACAAGTTTGGGTTCCACGGAATGTCACGTAAGGAAAGTGCTGGTAGGCTGTCCCGTCATGGTTCTCCGAACGACGCTATCCGAGGGGCTCGTTGTTTATGTATGTTTTTTTGGTTTAGGAGCCTTGTGGAATACTTAGGGAGAATAGCAGGAGACCGGACGATATGTCATGTGAACATACATGCGTAGATACTATGACTGTGATCTCTGGAATATGTTTTTAGGGACGGGGCGGGATTAAAGAACTGAGTGAATGGCGCAAATATGAATCTCTGTGAAATTACTACATTCTTGTACTACTTTCTGTAGCGATTTTCTGTCCGTATGCTAAATGAACGGTGAATTTTTTAAAGGAAATGTAGTCAAGACTCTTAATTTAAAGTGCTATTATGTATCAAAATTTTTAATTGAGGTATTTGCAATTTGTGTGTAATAGTATTAAGAAGCATAACATAAAGTTTGATTTCAGTAAGCCCGTCGTAGGTATGACATTTAAAAATTTAGCAACATGTTTTTATTATTGGCTATAATTTCATTAGACATATAAATACAATTGAAGTGTTCGTCTGTAATATCAAAGTAGCTGTCTTTTATTGAGCTGAAGGGGATGCAAGTAATTGAGACATGAAGAACCATTTGTAAAATTTTTGTCTTTCTGTCAATCCGGGCTAATCTATGGCTGAATCACCATATAAAACACAGCAGCATGAAACCACTACTTTACGCTGGTAATCTGTGAGAGCGTGGTCCTACCCCGGTTGAGCCGGCCCAGTCGTGCTACAACCATAATATAGCTGCAGCTTGGCTCTACCACGTGAGATAAAATGTATAAAATAAATATAATAAACTAGGTATCTTAAATCTGTATTACGCATTATAAATGGATCCTATATCCTATCCAGGCAAAACCGGGGCGCGTTGCTAATAGTTGATAACACCACATTAATAATCAAAGTACCAATCAAAAATTTGACTGTATGACAGTTGATTTTTTTTAAATTGGTACCATTATGGTAATGAATATTGCTTATTATTTTTATTTCTATGCTTTAGTTTATAGAATCATGGTATCTACTAAAAGTAAAGTCTGACTTATCTATCGTATTGGGGTAATCCAATAATGATAGTAGAAAGTGAATATAATAACTAAATAAATATTTGAATGTTATATAAATAAATTATTGCTTTATTACGTAGCCATACGTTAAAATATTTAATATTCTTTGTATGTTTACACAGTTTTCAGTTTGTAAAAGGCTAATTTTATATGTAGATCCAACTATAAAAAATAATTAACGGTAAATATATAATAGTATAAAATTAATAAATAACTATTATAAAAAAGCAAAATATTTAAAAAATAATGATTAAAAAAAACAACATCACGATTTAGAGTTTACGAACCTGATAATGTAAATACGGCAAAGGTGGCTTGCGCCAAAATGAAGAGTTGCGCACGCGCCATCACAACCCGACTATGTGCCACCAGGTGGCTGTACCGACTGAACGGATCAGTAATCAACTGAACGGTCTTTAGCGCTCGTGCGCACCGATAACTGATTTATTATAAATTGTAATGTAATTCATAATCTCTTCTTATAGACAGCATTGCGCGCGATAAGGGATTGTTTACATAGATTATTATAAATACCTATATTTTTTTTTATCCGTGATAATGAGTTTTATGGTAAAAATTCAAGCGCTTTCATGATAGAGTCCATTAAAGTATTCGAAATTCAAATTTAAACAGTTTTTTTTTTCAAATTTTTACTACATATAATATAAATAAAATAAAAATGTGGAAACTGATATAAGAAACACAAAAACTTTTAGTAGTTGTATCATTATTATTTTATCTACATAATTCATTTTATTAATAGTAACACAAAGTTAAGTAAAAAGTATAGTTACAAGTTATTTAAACGTGTTGAAATAATTTAATAAAAAATCTGAGAAATAAAATAAATCAAGGAAGATTTATTTTATTTCACAGACTTTTTTATTATGTTTTCCCTCACCATCGGGCACATATTTAGCATTAAAAATTCTAATCAACCATTTTATTTGCTACATGCGAGGATCGAACCCGGGTTTCGCGCGTACGAATTTATGGCCTGTGCTCAGATTCCACAGCACAGTGGCACACTTAAAATTATTTTTAATAAAGTGCATCTAATTCATTTGAAAAATCTAATATATTTTTGTAATTATTTTTCCTTACAAAGTAACCAGCGATAGCGATCAACGACCTTCCGCCAATCTTCCGCCTTTTTTGTTAAGCTAACAAAAATTATTTTTTGAAAGTCTTGAGTAATGCTTGAAAATTAGCGCTCCCTCTCTTTTGAACAGGTTTCAACGAATTACCTTTTTTAATGTCTTAAGAATTCGAATGGACCTCTTTTGTTGTCGCACCGCACTTAATTTCTGTTTTATGTACTTACGTGTTTTCTCAAAATCTGATGTTAAATTATTACCAACTTTCAAAAGGTATTTCATTAAAAATATGTAATTCATCCATTATCCATCACAGCCTATTAAAGTTCACTGATGAATATAGTTTTTTATACGTGGTAGAGCCATACTGCAGCTATATTAATTGCATAGTTGTAGCACGAATGGGTCGGCTAAACCGGGGAAGGACCACGCTCTCAGAGTGCACCTGTGCTTGCGCATACACTTGGTCACTATAAGCCAGTTGAGATTGGCTGCCGTGAACCAAATTCGGTCTGGAGGACATTAATATTATTAATGTGATACTTTTTTGATTTAAGATAACCATCAAATACAAAAATACCTTAATTTATTTTAAAAATCTAGTTTCTCGGATAAAATATAACGTAGATCACACTCCTGGCATTGATCTCTACTAATTCGTGTCTATCGTATCATTACAATCAGTTCAGCGTTTGTGTATGTCTTAACGGTATGCAAATATCCACTCAGCTCAATTAAAGTCATTTGCTATGATATTACAAATAGACACTTCCATTTTATTTATGTATATAGATTTATCTAATGATTTCTCGTATTTACGCGAACACTGCACATTGAATAAAACTACTTTTACGGATTTTATCGAGTTTAATTGTATAATGATTTCTTATATTTACGCGAACACTACACATTTTTAAATAATACTTTTTAAAGATTTTATCGCGTATATTAACTCATTTTTATATTCCCGACGTTTCGGGTGCTTTCCAGCACCCGTGGTCACGGGGGACTGAGGTGTTTGACGTCCTGCTGTCATAGTTAGCCCGGCTACCTTCAGTTTTTTAGGACGTCAAACACCTCAGTCCCCCGTGACCACGGGTGCTGGAAAGCACCCGAAACGTCGGGAATATAAAAATAAGTTAATATACGCGATAAAATCTTTAAAAAGTTTTATTTAAAAAAGAGTTTAATTGTACTTATTTTTTCAATTTCCCACGTTTCAGGCGCTCCCCAGCAACCATGGGCACGGGGGACCGAGGTGATTGACGTCTCGATGTCAGAGTTAACCTGGAGTAGCTTCAGCTTTTTAATTATTACTTTTGTGTCTTGAAGTCTTGCAGTGATATGCTTGAGATTAGTTTTAATTTTATTAATTATAGGATCCCAAGCAGTCGGTAGTAACCAGCATCCTTCTCTATGGGAAGTAGGATGATGGTTAGGCTACTGCAGACTGTGTATGACAGTTACCAACTTCAATCAAAGAGGCCACCCATGCGCTATCACCTCTAAGGACTAATAAGGCATGCCTCATAGCCTGGAAAAGTTCTGCATCTCCAACTTAAGCATATCATATATCTCTCACAAAATACTACCGTGAAATATCAGCAAATCCTGCCGTGTTTAGTATGGAGTGTAAGAGATCTGGAGACATAATTTATTGTTGACTTAGTTCTGGTCATCAGGGGTAATAAGTAATAACGCATTCTGCGTTTTGATTCTTAATCGATTATATATGTAGAATTCTATAGGTCAGCACTCATTTATTATCGGGTGGAATGTGTGCTTATTTTGCGCCCATACTTCAGTATAAAAGCGTTGAATTTCAGCCATTCTCTTGTTTCTAAAATTGTAAAGACTAATGTATGAATTATTAATTATTGATGTTTTCGCTTAATAAATGCCGAAGAATTGAATTTTTTAACAATGCAACCATTTCTCAAACAATTTACTGCGTGTCTTTTAATTTATTTACTAGTACGTAAATCAACTATAACATAACAATAACAAATAAATTGATGTCTCTCTCTTATGTGTCAAAATGCCAATTACTCGTCGCTGAACCTTATACAGCAAATAATTGTATAAAGTGCGGTTCACATTAAGTGTGAGCGCATGATACACGCAACACGTGTCACTTTGCAACACCAGTATGAAACTCTACGAAAGATATCACTACCTCGCCACACCTTTCATACGTGGTAGAGCCATGCTGCATCTATATTATGGTTGTAGCACGAATGGGTTGGCTCGACCGGGGAAGGACCACGCTCTCACAGAATACCAGCGTAAAATAGCAGCTTAACGCTGCTGTGTTTCGTATGGTGAGTGTAGAGAACCGGAGACCCTTTTTACTGGAAACGAGGCATTCCATCTTAGTCCTCACGGGTGACAACGCATCTGCATTTTGACTCTTAATCGGAGATAGATGTAGATGTCTATGGGCCACAGCGACCACTTACCATCAGGTGGACTTTGTGCTCATTTGTCACCCTTATCCTATAAAAAAAAACCTCCGTTCCGTATACAGCGTGTGTAGACGCTGACGTTGTGACGTGTTCTATACAGATTTGTCTATTGTTCACATCCATCGATCACTAATAAAAATCGATGCTCACATCTCATTAAGTGTGCGTCGGCCTTAAAGGTCAAGTAAAGATAAGGTTCAAGAGTCGCTATAAATGTTCAATGATTTACAATTCAATAATATACTATTCATAGACGAAACCGATCAAAAAATGAACAGACTACACTTTACGTGTTGTTCTATTAGTGGGGTGGTGGAACAGCACTGCCATCAGGCTTGCGCAGGTCTTTTCGTAACATCATTTATTGGATGATATATATACCATGCTTGGATGCGGGTTGCTATTCCAAGTTTTTTATTATTAAATCAGGAAGATGCAGCTGCCCAGAAGATGTATACTGAGGGGCACACTGATGATTTTTACGCTAGCAGACGCAAAAGAGTGGAATCCCCACTGAACATGGTTATAAGTACCTACTCACCACAGCATGCTGAAGACTATCACATAAAAACAATTTTTAATGTAATTAACTTTGTTGGATTTGAATACTTATTTTATTTTCATAACATAATTTTAAGTAATATAATATGGAATCCTATCTGAAATAAATTAATTATTATCAGAAATGAGAGGACACAGCCGTGTGACGTCTATAAGCTATACTAAATTTAACCAATGCTTGACTAACGTCCAGCCTAATATAACAGAAAATGATAAAGCGCGCCGACTAACCTTAACAAAAACTCTTGCCTTGAATGTGCACCGATTTTTTATAGAAGAGGGGGCAAATGAGCATGCTGCTCACCTGATGACCACCGCCGCCCATGAACAACTGCAACACCATGGGAATCGCAGGTGCGTTGTCGGCCTTTTAGAAAGGAGAAAGCTCTTTTCTCCTTTGTAAAAGGCCGACAAATACGTCGTAGAGCCATGCTGCAGCTATATTAGTAGTATAGTTGTAGCACGAATGGGTCGGCTCGACCGGGGAAGCACCACACTCTCATAGAATACCAGCGTGAAATAGCAGCTTAACATTAATGTTTCGTGAGTATAGAGAACCGGAGACCCTTTTTATTGGAAAAGAGGCATTCCATCTAAGTCCTCACGGGTGACAATGCATCTGCATTTTGATTCGAAAACGAGGATAGATTTAGATGTCTATGGGCCACAACAACCACTTACCATCAGGTGGACTGTGTGCTCGTTTATCACCCTATCCTATAAAAAATTCTTGAAGGTCCCTAAGTCGTATCGGTCCGAAAACATCGTCGGTGGTAAACAATTGGAATCGGATAGAAAAGTCGACGCTGCCAAATTATTACACTCCTATGCTGAACACATGAACGACAAAGCAAACCGTATTTGTCCAATTCGGGTTTGTGGTGCTTAATTACAAAGGAGTGAAGTTTCTCCGAGTGTCTGGTTGCCCGATGGTAAAATTAAAAATTTTGTACACCCGACTTTAACATAAATAAAATGAGAACATCGTCAATGCAGTCGAAGTCGCTTTATTAAGGATAACCCAAAAAGTACTGTTTAGATCGTGATCAATTTATGCGGGACCACATAAGAAGCACCAGATTTCAAATAAAAAATGAAATAATTAAAATCGGTTCATCCCCGAAAAGCTTAAAAAGAGGAATAAATTACGTCATGTAATTTCAGCGAATACAAATACGTCACGCAATTTCAGCGAATACAAATGTGTTCTATAGAATTACTTTATGTAATTATAAAATGATCGTAAAAAATCAATTTAATATTTT